GCCGCCATCTCCCGAAAAGAGCCTTTGACTAACAGGAAGTGACGTTTCAGGAGTTTTTAATATTGGCTTCCTGTGATGTTTCCAATCCATGTACGTGTACAGTGCTTTGCAGGTTGCTTGACCCTGCAAACTCGTTGATCACGTGACTCTCACCATACTAGTGATACATGTCACGTGAGCAGAAACTGGGTCAAGCAACCTGCAAAGCACTGTACAGTGGCAACTGATAAAAGCCGGAATAGAAACCAAAGAAACATGGAAATGAAACGAAACGGAGCAACATTATTATTTTATTTTTAAAGTAATTATTATTGCTTTTTTGATAAAACAATTCAAAATCAGCTGGTATTTTACCAAGCATTAACGTAAATAACTGATTGACATTTAGTCCTAAAAGTGGTCGAGCAAGAACTGGTAGGAACCTTGCAGTAGTGTCGTGATAGTCATCATCATTAACATTAGGAATAATCTGTTTAAGGAGATCAGTAGGACTCTCCTTGATCTTTGGCTTCACAGGAGAAAAAACAAGACTTTCCAAAGATTCGCTATCACTTGAAGAGTTACTACTGCAAGAATCATTTGTCAAGTCAATTATTAATAAAACTCGAAAACTCCTCCTATAATTAAAAGAGGTGTGGTCAGTATTAAAATCTGGCAATCAGCCGTACTGACTTTCTCTTCTCCTCGGGCTTGACTAAATAGCCTCCTTTTAGCTTTTGGTCCTTGCTTGTGTCTGTGAAGCCTAAGAATTTGAGACATAGAGGGTAGAAGCTAGATAAACACCACCGAGAACACCAACAAACCATAGATATTAGAGTAAATGAAATTTACTCTAATATCTATGAACAAACTCAGTACTTGATGAATGATGAGCAATTGAGCATGCGCACTGAGTCTGATAATCTGATTCCGTTTCCGTATTTCTCCGTTTCATTTCATTTCCGTGTTTCTTTGGTTTCTATTCCGGCTTTTATCAGTTGCCCTGTACAGTGCTTTGCAGGTTGCTTGACCCAGTTTCTGCTCACGTGACATGTATTACTAGTATGGTGAGAGTCACGTGATTAACGAGTTGCAGGGTCAAGCAACCTGCAAAGCACTGTACAATGCTTGACAAGACTTTGTGCAGCCGTCAGAAATCCGACGTGACCAATCAAGATTCAATTTGTCATAATGATGTCATTATTTTAATAAATATTCATTGTAGTTATTGTTAAGTATAAAAATGGCGTGTTGTACTGAAATATCAAGGCACTGACTGTGGAAACCAGGCCATAAGAAGAGCTCTAGACACACTAGCTAGAGTTTCTGTC